TACCTAAATGAGTTACAAAGATGAAAACCATCACTTCATTAGTGAGGTCCTTCCCTATAACAATCACTATACTTTTATTTATTTTATCTTTTTGGTCTTTTTGAGACAGGGTCTCCCTGTAGCCCTAGCTGGCCTGGAGCTCACTATGTAGACCAGGCTGGCCTCAAACTGATAGATATCCATCTGCCTCTGCCTCTTGAGTGCTGGGACTAAAGGCGTATACCACCACACCTGGCTTATTCATTTTTACTTTTAAAAGACAGGATCTCACATTGCTGATTTTAGATTCACTCTATGGCTGAGGATGACTTTGAAGTTCTGATCTTCCAGCCTCTACCTCCTAAATGTTTGGGTTACAGATCCCATGCCCAGTTTATGTAGTGCTGGACATCAAACCCAGGGCTTCATGCATGCTAGGCAAGCATTCTACCAACCAAGCACAGTTCCAGCCCAGACCTGGATTATTTTTTTTATTATTAAAATTTTTTAAAATTTATTTTTATTTTCTATGTATGAGTGTTATGCTTACATGTATGTAAGTGCACCCCTGTAGTGCAGTGCCTGCTGGGGACAGAAGAGGGCTTCAGATCCCCTGGAGCTGGAGTTACAGACAGTTGTTAGCTGCCATGTGGGTGCTGGGATTTGAATCCTGGTCCTCTGCAAGAGCAGCTAGTGCTATTTAACCTCTGAGCCATCTCTCCAGCTCTGGGACCTGGATTCTTCCTCCTGCCACCTGTGCAAAGGCAGAAACTGCACAGTGTCAAGAGCAGCCCTGGCCTCTCCAACCAATCACCATTATGAACAAGAACTCTTCTGCTGGTCCCACCGGGATCTGGGGAGCACAGTGCTCAGCTCACAATTAATTGGTGCACAAATATAGCTGTTTAGAAAGAAGATTCCAGGAGAGGGGACTGGGGAGATGGCTCAGTGGATAAAATGTACAGGCATAGGATCTGAGCTCAAATCACCAGTACCCACACAAAAAACTAGACCCATAACTCCAGCACTGGGGGATAGACAGGTGGATCCTAGGGGCTCACAGGCCAGCCAGTCTAGTCAAAACAGAGAACTCCAGGTTCAGTGAGAGACCCTTTCTCAAATAATAAGCTGGAGAAGTGATTGAGGAAGACATCAACCTCCAGCCCCCACACATACATGCACAAGCAAGCACACTTATACACACACCAAAAAAGATAGAAAGATTGCAGGATAAAGTGGTTAGCCCAACTCACCATTGTAAATCCCCCATGCACTGGCTTCAGGCCTCTCCTGGGCAGCACCAGAGGCCCTCCCTCTGGGCAGGGTAGCCTGGGGTGAAGCAGTAGCTCAGCACCAAGAAGCAGATGGAGTGGGACACTCACCTTCTTGCTCACCATGTGCAAACTTGGGGAAGTCAAGTCATCTCCTTCAGTGGGACTATAACAGGCACTTAGAATGCTTTTGCTAAGCATTGATTCACCTGTACCCACAAGGTGACTAAAAGTGGGTGAAAGCCTGACACCTCTGCCTTCAGTCTGTGTGTGTCTCCTTTGCATTGTGTCAGACTCCTGCTCACCTTGGCATGTGGGCATGTTAATCACTCCAGGAGTATCTGTCTAAACACCAGCAATGCCTAATAACACATTCTCCATTATAGCCTAAGGCACAAAGAGTAACAGAGGCATTTTATTGTCAGCTTTTTTTTTTTAAGGTGTATGAGTGTATTGCCTGCATGTATGTGAGTGCACCCATGTCGTGCGATGCCGTGGAGGTCAGAAGAGGGCTTCGATTTCCCCTGGAACTGGAGTTAAGGACGGTTCGTACCTGTCATGTGGGTGCTGGGAATCGAACCCGGGTCCTCCGCAAGAGCAGTCAGTGCTCTTAACCGCTGATCCATCTCTCCAGCTCCAGCTATTTAAAAATTGATTCATTCATTTATTTATCTATTTACTTATTTATTTATCTATTTACTTGTTTATTTAGGTTAGAGGACAACTTTCAGGAAACATTTCTTTTCCTTTTAGCATGTGGGTCCCAAGGATTGAACTCAGGTCATCAGGCTTGGCAGCAAGCACCTTTATCCTCTGAGTCATGTCTTGTTCTAGACTGCACCCCCACCCCTAAAAGATGCCTAAGGTCTCCAGTCATTGTCCTATGCCTACAGTCAACCTAGATTCCAGGAACAGCGGAGCCTCACAGTAGAGCGGTTGTCTATGATGGTGAGCTGTATGCTGGAACAGGAGCAATGTTTTCATGGGAACTCTCAGTTGTCCCCTCAGGTGATGAGGACTTCTTTCAAATGCCTTGCAGAGCCAGCACGGAGATCATAATCCCCAGGCTGCTCTTTGGCTGAGGCTGTTCCATTATGCAGACCTCTGCCCCTACCCCAATTCTTCCTTATTTAAACCTGAGCCTCATGTTGGTGCTCTGAAGACAGACTTGTAGTCACTGGACCCCTTTATCAGTTCCTTTTCCCAGTGTGCACATAGATTCAATCGTCTTTCTCTGTTCTTCACCATCCTCCTCTCTTTGATTGGTGCTTTTTCAGATAGGTAGCCCAGTCTGTCTTTTGGGACCCGCCCCCAGAGCTGAAACTTCACTAACAACTTGCTCCCAGGAGCCTCACATTAAAGAAATGGGAGGAGGGA